GACAGAGACAGGAGGGGAGGCAAACAAAGGGAAGAAAAGGGTGAGAGGGAGGCAGGGTGGAGCAGGGGGGGGATCCACACGGGGATGGACAAAGAAGACCTGCAGAGATGATCCACAGATGGCTGACGAAAGCTGAAGGCAAACACTGGACGTCAATGGAAATTTATTGGAGAGCTGCAAATCAGATTCTTTACCTCCATGATGCAATTAGCGTCGTAACACCTGCCACCTTATTGACTTAGTGACATTTAAATGCATTTTACTGAATGACCTAAACTCTATTCCTGAGGTATGGAGAGAACTCTCCATGAGTGTTAAGCATAATCCCAACACGGGGCGATTAGTGTTTCCCTGATATTATCATACCAACATACAGGCCCGATGTCTGCGCGTGCGGCTCAGTATTATCTCGGACTATCGAGCGCTTTAGTCTCCCGTAGCTCTTAGCCCTAAGACACCACACTGATCTCTTCGGCCATGTTGTGAGCTCCCACACAGCTGCCTCCGGGTCCTTCATCTACTTGATGTTTTGGATTGGATTTTTGAAACGGTGTTCGTAAAGGAATGATTCAGTCTCAAGCGTTTTGGATGTGGTTCTCACCAACATGGATGAGTCCGGATTCCATTCCCTGACTTTTCCTCAGGCTGGAGGTTCACATTGGTGGTTTTGTTTGAAATGTTTCCAACAACTCTTGGACCAGTTACCAGATCATGTTTTATGCAGGAATGTCATGATGACAATATTAGTTAGCATTCACCTCAAAGCAACGCTGCGGCCAAATACAATCTCATAGACTCATTATACCGGTAAAAGACTCTCGCCAAATCTGCTTGTTGGAGATAGATGTTATACACTCTCATTGTTATTCTGGTGGATGAATAGTGAAACCGTGGTAAGGACGTATTTCCAGTGGAGCTATTCATCCTGAGCTCAATTCATGACAGAAGTCATCTTAACAGCCAGGATCGCCTGTCATCAAGTATGTTCAGGAGCGCTATCTGGGCATCGAGAAGCTCGACAAGTCAGGAGAAAATGTAAAATGTTATTAAAGTAGCTCCTGGTGAACGCTAGACATCAGGTATTTTTTTATGTCTTTGTTGTTCCTCTGAACAGCCGGCGTGCTGCAGACAGTAAGACAACATAAAACGCAACACTAAGTGCTGGTGTTTCAGTGTGCGCTTCCCACTAAAAGTCTATAAAAGACACAGCTAACGGCGAGTCCACTGAATACAGTGCACAGAGAATATTGATGAGATGGATCGGGGACCAGGGCTGTCCTCGCTGATAAAGATAACCAACATCGCAAGAGACGTCAGCTGAGAAATAACGGAGAGTTCAAGACGTGGCTTCAGGAAAGGTTTCCCCCTTTTCACCTTAGTGTGCCTTTATCAATAACATGGTGGAGAAGAGGAGGAACAGGGGGTATTAGCAGAGCCAGAGATAGCGCCATATCATATTTGTGCAAAGTGATTTCTGTTAGAACGGGGTCAGGCTAATTCCTGTTGCATCTTATTGGGAGCGAGTGATGCCCGGCTGCTCTGACAGAGAGCTTATGCAGGGAGAGGAGTTGTGCTATCCAACCATGTGTGTGTGTGTGTGTGTGTGTGTGTGTGAAGCCAGACCCACGCTGCCAGTCTCCGCCCCGTCACTGGCCGGGTGATGTCATTCTGTGTGTCTGTGTGTGTCTGTGTGTGTTGGCAGCCTCGTGATCCATCGCCGGATGAAGAATGAAGCCACCGCCAGGGTGAGAGGAAGAGGGGGAATAAAAAAACAACAACTGCAATCTGATGGGGTAAAAAAACAAACACACCTATCTTTTTTCTTTGTTTACCCCCCCACCTCTGACTTGTTTTGGTATCTCCCATACACGAGGAGTGAGGATGAGAATAATTTGTGTTACAGAAGCCTTTTCATCGATCACACAGGCAACAAGAAAGGTCTTTGGGTTTATTGCTTCCTACACTACAAATCCTGTTCTACAGAGAATAACTCAGCCATTATTGGATATTGGTCTTATGACATCCAATGAAAGGAACCAAATCAACAATGGGCCAAGACGTTCTGAATTTGAGGCTGAAGACACAACTCACATTTCCAAATGCTTTCATTTAAAATGCAGATTTCCTAAAACAGATGAGCACTGTAGCTTTTAACAATTCTATTAGGAAATGCATTGCTTGATGTGAGCAGTCAAAGCAGGCGTGGATGTTTTGGTGGTGATTGATAATACCTGGAGCAACATTTCCTCAGGTCAGGCTGCAAATGCACCTTGTGTTTCTTTCTTTCTCCTTCTTCTGTATTATATTTTCCTCTTCACTTCATCTCCGCCCCCCCTACCCCCCCTCTCCCGAGGCTGATGTGAGCCGAATCAAGGCACGTTGACTTCCACGTGAAGGCTGTTCTATTTGCCGGGCTGCCTGCCCGCCTGGCATCCTCTCTGCGACCCACGTCTGCGTGGTCTCCGTAGCGTCCCTCCTCCCTCCCTCCCTCCCTCCGTTTCCCTCTTTAGGCCACTGTAACACTCATTGTCTCCTTCACAACCGCTAAGATCACACTCTCTGGCCCGGGCATGAGGGGTATGAGGATTGAGAAAGAGAGAGTGGTACTGCACCTAATGGCTGCCGCGATTCATTCAATTTGCATCGACTGATAACGGAGCCTTTCGCCTTTCTGAGGATCCACGGTGCATTTCTGTGAGGCAACTACTTGAACAATTTCCTTGAGGAAACCGCTTAAACACCACAGTATTCAATTATGTGAGCGTTCCTCTCTGCTGCTTTTCTGCTCTGAGGTATTGTTGTTTTAAAGGTACTTAAAAGCGTTTAGGGTTTGCAATTTGCTTTTCAACCAAATGTATTTTTAGATAATGCTTCCACAATGACTTTTAGTTCATTTTGGCTTCTACATTTTACTATGATACTTAAGAACCGTTGATGCTGAGATGGTGCCACACCCTGACATACCCATTAAGCACACGGCCCCTTATTTATGTCATTGCAGCCAAGGCCATCAAATCAATTCTTCACCTTTCCTTGTGCAATATCAAAGCATGTTGCAGACAGTGTAACAGGGCCTGATCGTCTCTGCGTTTCCCTAGCAACAAGTTACGTAGAGGCTGTCTGGGCAAAAGAGCCGCCTCGGAGGAGAATGGAAGTGAGGAATAACGGGGATATTTTAGCAAAAACACCATTCCTCTAACGGATTACACATTCTGTTTTGCCGGAATAAATGGTAAATATTAATACATGCATGTACCACATGAAGCAGAGCGACTGCCGTGTTTTATTTCATCAGTGATGTTTCTGTCACATAATGTAAAAGACCATGATCTTCAGCTAACAAAATGCCTCTGATGCCATAGCGCTGTACTTTGGCTGCGTCTGCAGAGAGACAAAGAGCTCTTGGTCTCGTGTCCTGTCAGCGGGGCTGCTGGGAGGCTTCCAGGCAACCGGTCTGCATGGTCACAGAGGCTCGCTCAAGGCTTTGTAAACACAACACTCTATCATCCACCTGCACAGGTTGGGAGCAACATTTCAGCGAGTTGAAGCAAAATGAGTTCAAATTGTATCAATTTTTCTCAAACCATTATTTACTGCTGCACGAGCAGCGAGACAATGCCGGGTGTGTCGTGTGTGTGTTATCGTGGAGTCCAAGTTCTCATTGGGTTTATGCAAAAATGGCCATGAATGTGGAACCAGAACTTCCGAATCATGATGATTTTACTCACCTTATGAATGTACATTTAAAGGAAGAGAAATGTTGTCATGAAAACCCCCCCGATTGAAGCCATTTTCTTTGCACCAGACATAACAAAGAAATTCCCCCGTCGGTGTGGAAGCATGATGTGAGGTGAATGATAATTTAGTGAATGTCTCCATCTGCTGCACACCTAGGAGAACTGCTGCATTACGTAAAAGGATTGCTATGACGTTGAAAAGGAATCGAAAGAGTGCATCCTTATTTCACACCCAAAAATGTAACATATGCACCCAAAAAATCTTACCAAGTGCAAAATGATCAGAGAGAGGGAGACTGTAATCACATGGATAGAGATATGCAGGTAGAAGAGTGTAGAACTTTTGTTATTCACTTTGACAAGAGCATAATACACTATCTCCAGATGTTATAATTAGTTGGAGGTAGTGCATAAACTAAATAATAAGAAAACTAATTACAACCACCATCATCATTGGACATTCAGCCATCATTCTCACAACTATTACAAAAAGTGAACAAAAATAATGAATTTTGCATTACACTTCTGTAACTATTAATATACAGTATGTATTATACTAATTATTGGACTCATAATGGACCATTTTCCTTGTTTTATTGGAAATTGAATAGAGATATCTTCTATCTTATACCACTCATCCCACTTTCAGTTCATTATGTTATTATGCTATTAGCGGCTATTGTAGCGTTGAGCCGGTATCCTCAATCAGAATTAAGGTGCGAATTAATCTGCTTCTCCAACTCTTATGGATTATTTTCTTTGTGAAACTTTCACTCTTCATGCCCAACTGATGTTGACTCTTGTCACACAAAGGAATTCATCAGACTTTAAACAGCTCCCTCTGGAGACACCAGAAACTTTATACAATTTTTTAATAAATATATTTATTGCATAAATAAAAAAGTTTTATCTGAAAAACAGACCCTGGTGTGTGCTTTGGAAGAATAACTCATTTTATAATTCCCAAACTCTTGGTCCAAGCATACAACGTGTGTGCTAGTGCTTTTATATTTTGAGCAAAATGTTCATATTAGAATGTTGACTTGAATACTATGACCGTTCAAATACAGCTAATGTTTAACACGGTCATCTCTGATTTTAACATGATATTAGGTGAGGGGCAATGACATGGGTTGAGCAGGTATTTAGTGAACCAAAGGATTGTTGAGCTTATTCGGTCTGGACCAAAGTGACCCGCTGACCTCTACACGCAGCCCTGAAAAAAGAAGTGCAAAAAAAATGAAATTATCCAACACACAGATGTTTATGTAAAGCTTGTGGTTTTAATATAGCAATCTCCACTCCCAGATAGAATCAACACAGGGGATTCAATCCAGCTAAGTAAAATATATGCACCACTTAGAGATCAGGACACTACAAAATACACATCTGAGTCATCCACCAACCCCCCCCCCCCAAAAGTGTTGATCCTAGTATTGTGTAGACAGTGAACACGAAGTACAGCATCAAAAACCGAGGCTGGGCAGCGTCACACCAGGCCTTCCTTGTTGCATTTGTGATACACATCCACATAAAGACACGGCCACCGATAAGACGGTTACAGAACAGCGTTTCCTCTACGGGTTCATTATGAGTACAGTCCGATAATCACACGAGCAGCATGTATGGCGCGCACGCGGGTTATCCTACAATACGGTATATTTACAGTAGCAGTGAGTGGAGGAGAGCCGCTTGTCGCGCCCCATTCACGGCCCTGTTTATGTGTCGATGAGTGTGTGAACAGGCTTTTCTCCTTGCAGAGAGAGGCAGAAGGCGAGCGCGCTGGCCTTTTTTTTTTTATCGGTGGCCGAGAAAAAATCGCTCGGGCCCCCCGGGGGCCAGTGAGCGGGCATATGCAATGAGAAGCGCGTGCAAGGAGGCCGAGAGGCCCCCGCAGAGGTTCACGCGACGACGACGCGTCGGATCCGCGGATGCAAAGTTCTACAAAAGTGTTTTCTCTTTCATTTACAGTGCAAGCAGTGGAGACTGGTCGCGATACCTCCTATTGAAACCCAGGAAATATCCGTAGCCCGAAACAGTGGATAACAGTACGTCACAGAGAAAAGAACACAACACACGTTTGGGGCTGTGAGTTGCCACTAGGCACAGTAGAAGCAGCCTTGAGCAAAACGAAACAAAAAAAAAAAAAAAGGAAATCTTTTCTCTGTGTTATAATGAAGCAGCGTGTTCATTGCTGGCAGTGGGACACTTTTCTCTGAAGGAATGTCTCAAGATGTGGACGGTTCATCCACCTTATCACTTCTCGCCATTTAGACGCCTTAAAAAAATGGATGAAATCCCCCGTTTGCTGTTACCAGGATTCAAACAGTTTGCAATGGAGGGTAAAAACTACATTTGCAATGTAGACACACTGCACAACAGCCTCCGGTTTGAAAACGCACAGTAGACTAAACACAGTTAGTGTAATAACAGGAGACGACACAGATAGTCTTCAATTTTCTTAAATCTACTGTTCACTTATGTGACATGTTTTTGCATCGAGCTGAATTAAAAAGCTTGGAGCCGCTACGGGCTGCTATCAAATGTCCTCCTACTGTACTCAATGTTTAAAAACACACATGAATACAGAACAAAAACTCCACAGGAAATGGAACACAGTTTTTTTTTCTATTAGGTTCCTGTTTTTCGTCAGTTCCAAATAAATCATACAAAAATTGTGTACAATCTGTCGGAGTCCCGTTTGATTCTCAGCGTGGTGAATGCGGCGAGTGGATCACTCACCCAGACACGCACGCACACGCACGCACACGTCTGACTCTTCTCAGATAGTGCTGCTGAGCGCCCGGCTGCAGTCCTGTGGGGAGGAGTGGATTTCGTCACTCTCCCTCCGTGGGGCGGCGGCTTCGCACGGAGGCCGACTCCCCGCAGATAATCTCCCTCTCCCTCTCTCTCTCTCTCTCTCTCTCTCTCTCTCTCTCTCTCTCTCTCTCTCTCTCTCTTTCTCTCTCTCTCTCTCTTTCTCTCTCTCTCTCTTTCTCTCCCTCTCCCGCGGGTCGCCCTCTAACTCGTCCCGTCTCTCGGGTCATCTTTGCATGTCTCCGGGGAGGTAAGTAAAAAAAAAAAAAAAAAAAGTCCCTACGATCCCTCCTTGTCCTCCGAGCTCTCCGGCGGCGCCGGAGGCCCCTCCGCCGTCGGGGACTGGGCCCCTCCCGGACCATCTGCGCACAAACCCCCCAAAAAAAGACATGTTAAAAAACGGTCTGCTGTTGTTGATGGACACAGACACTTCACAATTCTTTTTAATGAAATAATTTAAACTAAGAATAGTGTTTTCTATACAATAGAAAACACTATTCTTACAATAAGCTGCCATGTTTCTACAGAACAGATGAAAACAAAGACGGCCGTAGTTCTTTGGCTTGATACTTTAAAATATATTTTCCTTACACATCCGTAACTAAACTGATCACGGGGATTGTTAGCTACGTACAAACAAACAGAAAGTTTAAACGTTTTAGGAGTACACAGAGATCATGAAGATAGACGGAGAGGCAGTATTAAATAATTATACACCTCAAACATCAGACACGGTCGACCTTTTCCCGGACTAAATCTGGTAAATTTAGCAAGATTACGACGTCAGGACGCAAACTACCAACTCAACTGAATGTCAGCTACATTTATGATAATGAAAAAGAAAAAAAGGCTGTACTTTACCTGTGAGGGACATTTCAGCCAGCTTGAGAGGGAGGTCGGCGGGGTTTACGCCTGCCGGTGAGCCCAGGATGTCAGGTAGGGCATTTCTCCTCCCCGAGCGCCCCGAGGAGGCAAAGTCCAACACCGGCTCCACTTCCGTCATCTCAGGAACCCTCTGTGATGAGAAGAGGGACAGAAAAGTGCTCGGTCGTGGCTCGATGTCATTCAGAACACCTTTCCGTGTTCGCAACACTGGAAACAACATTGACTGCATTTCAACGTAAACCGTCGTTCGTCTGTACGTTGGCCCAATTCCGCCACTGATTGGCTACTACTTATTGCCTTCTTTGGTGGGGTTGAGGCATGAGAAGGGAGGTTGGTAAGGGGTGAACATATCAGGGACAGCCAATCAGAGGCAGAGGAGGGCGGCTTGTGTATGTTCCATCCCAGGGAGAAATAAGACATGCCATGCTGAACCTGACTTATCACTAAACATCACTGAGGTGGTGTCGAAGGAGGAGGCACCTTTGGCTCAGTCATAAACAGCTAAACGCTTGTTCTCTCTGTTGCGTAACAAAGAGTTATGAAAGCCTTCTGATTACCAAACTGTCAGAGGTCACGGTCTGTTTACAGAGGTGGGGGAAAAGAGGACAAAGAGGCTACATTTCCTTTCTTCAAACTAGATAAGAGCTCGTAAATCTTATCCGGGATGTAAACACGGGGACTTTCTATATGAGGTCTTTGACTCGTCGCCCCTCGACGCGGTTATTTGGGCTTTCTGGCTGCTGCTCTGCAAGGGGAAACCCATGTAGCCTTGGTGGTTAACATGCAATTCAATTCAATGAAATTCAAAGATTTTATTGTCATATACACACCCCTGTGTATTGAAATTCTTATGCTTGCCTTTTCTGGAAAGCCGACCAATTTTAAAATAAAAATAAAAATACAATATTTACATAAATGTACATGAAATTAAAAAAAAGGCAGGAATGAGGAATGGGGAAATGTGCAAAACTGAGCAGGTTGTAAAAATAAATGAAATTAAATTAAATGTGTGCAATATAAATTAACAGCACAGTACAAGTGAAAGTCAAAAATACACAAAAACATTTTTAAAAAGCCGGCATTCTAGAGCGGAGCAAGCAAACACGTCTGCCACGGAGGGCGCCATCACTATATCTATATGCGCTGGAAACATCATGTTGACTTGGTGTTAGCTAATGAAATATCACTGGATGACTTGCTTCCAATGATGTAAATAACCTATAATTTACCTCCAAACACGTGTCTTTGCCCTGATACTTTTTACTGCATAACTGAGTATCCCACATTTTAAGTTGCACAGAGCACGACAGAGGCCATTTATCTGAAGACAAACCTTCTCTGTTTAGTGATGTGAGCGTCGGGTGAGAGGATTTATCACTGAAGCAGAGGATGTGTCTTTCTGGTCTCATGGCAACCAGCAGCTGGGGAGTCCGCTCCGGGCTACGCTGGTGACAGGCAGAATTACATCCCTTGTTTCCCACAACTCCACACACACACACACACACACACACACACACACACACACACACACACACACAGCCAGCTACTGTTGCTATGGCAACAGTAGAGAAAAAGCACCACTGGCAGGTAAACACACGACTGAATCCCATTCTCTCGCTATCTCACTTTCTATTCCCAGTCTCCCCCCTTTTTGTTGTGTTGCCTGGCTTTAAATAACCGAACCGTTCCGTGGAGCAGAATGCCGTATCCCATCCCGCGCTTCCCACAAGGCAGCGATGAACTCACAAACATGCGCGATTTAGATCTCCCCAACGAGGGCCACAGGTTGTCCATCTGTTAGCCTTAAGCACGGTTGTGACACAGCCATTGAGCTCATCGAAGCCAAAATAGTGAAATGTGACCTATATTGTAAAATAACTGAGTATTAGAAGATATTTCCTCTAAAACGTTCACACAACATTCCATGAGACCCTGCAGAGGGTGAAGAATGGGGAGGGCAATGTCAACACAATTATTTTGTAGCCTCCGCGTGGCTTTCCTTGATTAAAAGGCAACAAATGAATTGTGGTTCCTGCTATTGCATTACATGATTGATAATAGCAGATATAACGTTTATGGTTAGGAATCTGTTTGTCCACCTTCCCACACTGCATTTTTGTGTTTTGTTCATTTTTTTCTACAGTATTAATGACTATTAATTATTATGTGCTATTTACTGTTGTGCCCTGTGGAACATTCTCACAATGGTCAAATTAGGGCCACGATTTAAATACTACGGTCATGAATCTTTTTAAAGCATTCGTTTAGAATCTTTTCATTTGGTCTCTTTTTTACATTTATTTTATTGTGTATATATCATTATTTGGATGTATTTTATGTAATATCTATAATTGGAAAGTTACATATGAAAACTAAACATTTTTTTGTTGGAAACAAAAGCAAATTATTTGAATGGATTTGAAAGCATTGCTTTGATTTGCATTGCTAAGGATTAAATGCATAGTTTCCACTTTCGAATGACTGTTTTGTAATTTTGGTAAAAACTCCATTCAGAGTCCATTCAGCACCTTTTATTGAATGAAATACCAAGGACATGGCCTCAGTGTCCTCAATGATCGCCGTTGTGCCTCTGATGTTAGATCACTGTTTACAGTGAAGCGCCATGTGGCGGCCTTTCAGTAGTTGGATCTTATTGCAGGCGTCCGGAGATGCCAGGACAATGTTCCAGTTTCCCTTCTCCGGCCCCACGTGTCAAAGCTGCTCTGTCCTGGAGCGCTTAAACTCAAAGCCCGACAATAGGAGTCTAATAATGGCCAAGCAGCACGGGGCGGGCGAGGGGGGGGGGGGGGGGGGTGGCGCTTCGCACCGCTCGTCTCTGATGTTGCTTCTGTCCATGCGAGATGAACGACCGATTTATCTGTTAATTAAAACCAGGCTCTGGCTGAAGGTAACTTGCTACGGTGTCGCGTTGCTATTGATCCTACTCGATACTGTCCACCATCACCCACAGCCGACAGCTGATGTAGTTCAGTCTGCACAACCGTATTTTTATGGGTGAATACGAACAAACAAACACATTCCAAAAAGCATCGCCTGTTAGTAGCAGAACTACTAGTGTCATTAATAACCTCCATCTGTCCTAATTAGAACATCTGTTTGGTAACTTTTAGGAGTCCTCCGGATTAAGTGTTGACCAGGCGGAGACCGGTCTTCTGAACAGGTTTATTTTAGCTGGTAATCCTACCGCAGTTTAGACAGGATTAGCTTGTCAAGAACATTGACCTAGATACCAAGATGTCCGGGCCGCGTCGGCCCGACGCGGGAACGAGCCGCAGGTACGTTAAGAACCGGCTTTTCATTAGAAAGAACCGCCAGGGGTCGAGGGTTGTTTACAGGGCGGGTTCAAGCATGTCAAGTAGAACAAGAGGACGAAATCTCTTCTTTGACACTGCAAATATCTGACAGCTCTTTTAAATAAGAACTTCCAGAAATGCTGCCAATTGCTATGCAGGCCGAAGGACCCCGAAAAAGAAAGCTCGTCTCCACGTACGTCTTCTCACATGAAGGGAGGAAGCTTCCTGCACCACGGACAGCGCTGGAAACCAAACGGGAGCTCGATAACGAGCCTCTTCTGTTACGTGCAGAAAATGTCAAAAACAAGCTCTGTTAAAGAACCTATTAGAGACAAAAGTTGATGCCGTGTCTTGAAACAGTCAGGGTCCAAAGTACTGGTCAGCTTTTTGGTAATAGGCTTAAAAGAATTTATCAGAAACTATTAGATACAATATTAAAATGATGATTCCGTTAATAGGTCATCTTTAACAAATGGATGATTCGGATGCCTAAAAGAAGCTTTTAAGGAGCCACATACTGCAATTGCATGAACTAAGTTGTTTTGAAAATGTCATGTCCATTAGAGTCAGTGGCTTATGTCAGAATAAATGTGACTTGAGTGATTGCAGACACTTGGAACAGGGTTGTTTAGCAATAAACCAGGACTCAGTACTGAGAAAACCACTCTAAACGGGTCAGGAAAACTCCATCGTCTGATTCTCAATCATTACATTTTAAATGAAACTTTAAAGCATAATCTCATTTCTTTGTTTTTGCTCGGTTGAAAATGCATTAGATTAGATTGTGGCAAAACATATTTTTATCATGAACATCACCGACTGAAGCAACGTGAAAACAGTCCATGAAATAGTAGTAAAAGACGAGATGAGTGGGACGATCTATGTAGTGGTGCATTTATTAAAAACTGTTACATAAAAACAAAAGAAATATGGACACAAAACATAAGCGTTTGGAAATCATCTAAAACCAATTAGTGTGAATAGTTAGAGGCTTCTTAATCAAAATTCAAAGAATATGCAACCTTTAATTCATATGGTTACCACAGGCGTTGTCAGTTTTGGGGGAAAAGTTATTCAATGTGAAAAAACGTAATCTTATTTTATCGACCAAAACAACCATGTTGTCACCCAGGAGGAGGCGTCCTAACATATTCAGTACAAAAATGTCAGCGGTATCAATCAAATCTTTCCTCTCTCGTAAACAAGAGACAATGATATATATATATATATATATATATATATATATTCTTGCAGCCAAGCAGCCTGCAGCCCGAGGCTGACCTCTATTCTGCTTCTCATCAGTCCAACACTCAGCGTGTGACAGTCTCTGCACACGCTGCAGCTCCACCGTAGTCTCTTACCTCACAAATCACCCAATAGAACGACTGAGCAGGCTATTACGTTACATTAAACACCGTTGGATTTTCCTGTTAAATTACAAACTGTCGCGGTTGAGGTTTTCCAGCGACAGAGCGCCGGGGCTGATTTACCCTCTTTATTATGCCGTCCTGTTCCAATGCTTTACCTGATAACCAGGGAGTGGGAGTAGTAATAGAATAGCTCCAGACAACCTTCGCCACATTCAGAGCGCGGTCATGACATCACTTGGTTATCATGGCTTTGGACGTTCAGGTCAGAAAGCGGCGTGCCCGAGCGATGTGGCACTGCAGAAGAAACGATGTTTACACAGCCGGCGCAGACGCGAGACGCTTTAGATGAATAAATAATGCCTGGGATTAAGTCCCTCGCTATTTTTAGTCCCTCTTACCCTGTGATTATTCCATGTCCTTTCCCCACTTTTTTCACTGTTATCCTA